ATAAAATCCGAGTAAAAAAGGAGTAGTCTAAGCACATGACAATAAAGGGCAAAAAAGCACAAGAAGGAATACCGCCTTTGCAGAAGTAATTGCGGACCACATAATTCCATCTATGGCGGCAAACACAGAAGGAAAAATTAGCCTGCATTTGCGCAAATTGCGACTGCACATGAATTGTGTAGCCGTAAAAGCTGGGCTAGGAGTCAAGATCAGAGAGTATGCAAATTACCAAGTCCAGAACCTGAGTAAATTGCGGACCGCACAAGAATTGTTCGGCCGTAGTTCTAAATCTGCGGACGACATAAATGTTGCCTTGCAGCCGCAATTTAGAAATGTGCGGTCGCAGAACTCCAGCTCCTGCCAGATGAAGAAATCTGCGGACCGCACATGGAATTGTGTGGCCGCAAAACCTCACGAGGGGTATTTTTGTCCGAGATTTTTAGCCTTGTATAAATAGACCAGTTTCACAAAATTAGGTCAAGTTTGAACCTCTGAAATTAGTGTAGCCGTTTTTCTTTGCCATTTTTGGAAGTTTACTTTGGTTTGGTGTCTTTTACAATAGATTTAATCATTTTAAGCTTTCATTATGAGTTTAATTAGTCTTTATTCTCTATTTTCTTCAAACCCAAGTATGAGTAGCTAGATGTTTACTAGAGTTATGACCCAACCCTAGTGTGTAAACCTTATGAGTATCTAATTTAGTGCTTGTTTATGATTGAGTGTTTTTTATTTAGCTTAGTTCATGCTTTAATTATGGAATTAATGTTTGCAACCATTAATTCATGCCTATTTGACTTAGTCTCTACTTGAGAAAGAGAGACATAGTCTAGGATAACTTAGCTAACAAGGAATTGGGTCAATCAAGAAATTGATTAACCTAATTAAAGGGTTCAACCTAGAGATAATAATAACCCGACTTGAGAATTTATTAACTGTTTTGTGTGATACCCATTTGGTCTTGAGAAAGACAAATTGGGCAAAATCACTCTCTGACCGAGAGGTATTGAGTGGGTAATTTAGAGTTGAGAGTTATAATAAACCCCAATCAATAAAACAAGCATTAAAGTCTTTATCCCATCAGGCAAACACCTAGGTAATGGTCACAACCCTAGGCTTTTTATCAATTTGGAAAAACCTCAAAAATAATTATCTCTAGTCTTCTTCCTTTATTTTGCAATCTTTAGAGAAAAATTAGGAATAGAAAACAAACCTTCGTGTGGAAGTGCAATCTAGATAATTCAATCACTCACATTGAAATGTATACCCCTAACTCCCATCTTAGCTCCATGTGGATTCGACCCCGACTCTTAGTTGGGTTTATATTATTGCAAACGACTGTTTAATACCTCTTTTGAGGTGTGCATTTGGACGCGATTAGCCCCATCAAAGCCGACTTCACCCATCGGGGTGTTTTTATCTACCATTTATGTTGTTTAATTTGCGGGAAAACAAGGAGGAATTGGACCTCGTCCATTCGCGTTGTTGGAAGCACCCGAAAACACCTGCCTTAATTCCGTCATGACCTGATCCTGCCGCAAGAGATGGTCCATAATGGCATTTTGTTGCTCTCTCAGGATCCTTACTATTTCAATGACGTGTTCGTCTTCAGCATCATTAGGAGTTGCCTCTCAAACATGTCGCGGATATTGCCCGCCGTGAACTGATGGTAGTGTATAATTGCGTATTGTGGCCATTAATTGCACTCTAATTCGCTGCACTTTAATAGTGTTTGAGCTTTAAATGGTATTATTTTGCACTGAGTGTGTGTTTTATGTTTTGTAGAAGTGATTCCGAGTTACGATTAGGTTGTGGAGATAATTCGAGATATTTTGGAGCTTTGAAGTCTGAGTAAAAGCCCAATAATTAAGTTGGGATCGTGTTCGGGGATCAAGGGATAATAGTGCACTTAACGAGAGAAAAGGAGAGCGAGCAAGAGGCTCACCCAGTGCGCGACCGCGTATGAGACCTCTCCAACGCGCACTTGAGCACGCAAATGAAGCAGTACATGGCTAGAAGTGCACGGCCATATGCGCGATCATAGGCCCAGGTGCGCTGTCGCGCACGTCCAGTTCCGGAAACTTTTCCCAAGCCTATTTTTGTAATTTCGGAGGGAACATTTGACCTATATGAAGCCCAGATCGTCTAAAAAGAGGGTATCTTGGATTTTGAGAGCAACATTTGGGGAGAGAAGACTGAAGAATGAACGGAAACGCAAAATACTTGATCCAATTCATTCAATACGGAATTTTGTTTGATTTTGGGAATTGTAATGTCTTCTTGTTCTTATAACACTCTTGTGATGAATAACTTCTCCACTATGGAGTAATCTTTTTTAGGGTTATTGACAGATGTCGTGATTTAACTATTGTTTTGGGTTTTACTCTCTGTTAATTGCCCGAATTCATTGAATGAGTTATTAATTGAATTGCAATGCTAATTGTGGTTTACTTTAATCAAAAGAGAAGTGTTGTTGCAATTTGCATTCTTCAATATTGTTTGGGTTGATTTTATGCCTCTCATAGGTAATCAAAAGAGCTTAGAGAGTTATCAATTAACCCAGTTCAGAAGAAGAGTCGAGAGGCATTTTTCGAAACATCATTCATTCACTGTATTTGTGCATATGTTCATAAGACCTGTTATTAGGTTGATTAAGGGCACTCTCATTCATTCGGAAGAAGAATTTGAATCCCTAAGGTAGCCTAATTATCTGTTCAAATCGAAGGAATCAATAGAAGTTAAGAGTGAACTTAACACAGAGTTACCCGGAATAATAGTTGATCACATATCTTGTCACAACCCTTACTTATCACCTTGATATTCAATCATTTCTACTTAGTCATTAAATTTCCATTAGTTTCTTACAATAGATAATCTTAGTTTTATTAATAATCTATAATAACATAAATCAAGGATTTATTATCCTGGATAGTGTTGACCTAAAGATTTATTTGAACATTATTTAAACCAATCCTTATGGAGATAATTTAATACTATATTATCTTTGACTAGCGAGCCTAAATTTTATACACCGGTTTTGCACTCGTCAATTTTTGGCGTCGTTGCTGGGGATTGGCGATTAATAGTGTTTGAATTAATTTTTGGTGCTAATTCAGGAGCTATTTTATTTTATTTTATTTTATTTTTTTACGCTCCTCGTTTATCTGTGTGCAGGCAACAGGTTAAGTTCTGCGGTGTATGACTTGATCCTATTCAAAGGAATCGGTGCCATACGATCCAGAATTAGACAAGCACCTGCGACAATTGAAAGGGGAGAAAGGATTGAGAAGATTGTGGTTGGGTCAGCTTTCAACTCAGAATAAAATGGTGAACAACGAAGAGGAGATGGACCTAGCTGCAAGAGAGGCAGATCAGTGACAGAAAGCACGGTTAGCAGCTGAAGCAGCCCGTAGAGTTGCGGATGAAACAGTCGACGGGGAAAGAAGGTTAAATCTCAACCGAACCATGATCGAAGATGAATTTGAAAATGCAGCCCCTAGGCTAGGGATGTCACTAGGAGATTATGCCAGACTGGTGTACAACCAATAACAGTCTAGCGTGAGACCCCCGCCCGTTGATGCCAATAATTTTGAACTCAAACATAGAGTCATCCAGACCATTCAGAACAATTGCATATTCAGAGGTAAACCCAATAAAGATCCCAACAACCATTTGATGGACTTCGACAAAATTATGAACACATTCCACTACAATGGAGCATCACATAATGCCATCTACCTCAGAGCATTCCCGTTCTCACTTAAGGATGATGCAAAGCAGTGGATGAGAAGTCTGCCCACAAGGTCAATCTGTACGTGGGAGGAGATGGCTACCAAGTTCTTAGAAAAATATTTCTCTGCAGCTAAGACTGGACGGATGAGGAAAGAGATTCACAATTTTAGCCAAGGTAAAGGGGAGATAGTGTTCGAGGCTTAGAAAGATTGAAGGAGCTATTGCGGAGGTTCCCTCATAATAGAATAAAACAATGGATGCAACTCCAGGACTTCTGGGATGGTTTAAACTCGTTGTTAAGGAAATTACTGAATAGTGCGGTTGCAGGTCCTCTAATGAAGAAAACTCCTGAAGAAATTGTCACTCTTCTGAATGAACTATCTGAAGATGCAGAACAATGGTCCACTGACCAAGGGGATCGAAGAAGATCAGCAGGGGTGCACCAAGTAGAATCGTCGGTAGCAATGCTGGCTCAAATCGCAGCTATGGCTAAGGACATCAAGCAACTAACGATAGTTCAGGTGCAAAATCAACCTTAGGTGGGATGTGATATCTGTGGATTGGGACACCAACACATTAATGTCACGCTACAGCTGAGGAAGTCAATGATGTGGGGAACTTTAATAGAGGAAACTACCAAGGTGGGAATAACTATAATGCCATGGGCCAAAGACATCTAGGTTTTTCGTGGAGTTCACCTAATGGGAGATTGAACTCATTGTAGCAAAACAATCTCAGACCCAGGGTCAAGGAACACTAGGTTTTCAGAACCAGCAGAAGCAGCAATACCAGCCACCATAGCAAGTTCAGTCAAGTATGGAAGTCCTTATGAAGGCATTCATAAAAAAAATAGATGAAAAATTCGAGAATCGGGGCACGACTATCCGGAATCTTGAAAGACAAATGGGACAGATTGCGAATTTGTTATCTGAGAGAGCTCATGGCACTCTTCCTTCTGAACTGAAAATAACCCAACAGATACAATCAAAGTTGTATCTCTGAGAAGTGGCAAAGCATTGACTGACCCACTGGTGAAAGCTAGACCTGAGGTGGTTAGCAAACAGAGTGGGACACCAGCAGAGAAAGAGAGCAAAGAGCAAAAGTGCCAGAGTAGCAGAGTGCAAAAGGAGATTGAAGAAAGTAGACATATGCCAGCTCTACCATTCCCTCAAAAGATGAAGCGGGAGAAACTTGACAAATGTTTTGGGCGATTCCCGGAGATGCTCAAGCAACTTTATGTGAACATTCCTTTCATAGAGGTACTCACTTAGATGTCTGCTTATGCCAAGTTCTTAAAGGAAATCCTGTCAAGAAAGAGAAAATTAGAGAAAATAACAGTGGTCAAGTTAAATGACAATTGCAGTGCTATCTTGCAAAATAAAATTCCCCAAAAGTGTGAGGACCTAAGAAGCTTCACCATACCATGCTCATTGGGGAGTGAAAAATTTGATAAGGCCCTCTGTGATTCTGGTGCGTCAATAAATCTAATGCCTCTGTCCATATTTAGGAAACTGGAAGGTGATCTTGGAGTGATCAAATCAATACGAGTGTCTCTACAACTGGCTGACCAAACCACCATTCTATATGAGGGAATCATTGAAGATATTTTAGTGAGGGTGGACAAGTTTGTGTTCTCCGTGGACTTTGTTATGGTGGATATGGAGGTAAAAAGGAGGTGCCTCTAATTCTAGGGAGGCCATTCTTATGTATAGGCAGAGCTATCGTGGATATCTATGAAGAGCAGCTTATGCTCAGAGTGGGCAATGAAAGAGTGGTGTTTCAGATGAAGAGGATGATGAAATACCCCAGTGATGAGGCGTCCGCATACTCGTGTTTCAAGTTGGACATTGTCGGAGAATTGGATGAGAAATACAAGTTTGACAAGCTTGTGAGGGATACTCTAGAGAGGTGTATTACTCAGTCTAGCATAGTGGAGGATGAAGATCTTGAAATAAAGAAAGAGGCAGAAGCTCTTGAGACTGAGGATCAACTGGTTGATGAGGAGGAACTAAAGGAGGAGGCTTCTAAGCCTAATGTGGAATTGAAATCCTCCCCACTCACTTAAAATATGCTTTTCTTGAAACTAACAATTTTCTTGTAATTATTTCTACTGAATTAACAGGTACACATGAGCGAAAGCTGGTGGAGTTGCTAAAAAAGCACAAGAAGGCCATGGGCTGGAGTATAGGTGATATTCAAGGAATCCGTTCGTCCATTTGCATGCATAAAATTTTACTGGAAGAAAATAGCAAGCTAATGGTGTAGCCCCGGCGCAAGCTGAACAAAAATTTGGAGGAGTTAGTGCACAAGGAGATCATCAAATTGCTAGATGCGGGAGTGATTTTTCCCATCTCTGATAGCCAGTGGATTAATCCAGTACAAGTTGTACCTAAAAAGTGAGGCATGACTGTAGTGAAAAATGAAGATAATGAATTGATCCCCACCAGAACGGTCACTGGGCGGAGAATGTGCATTGATTATAGAAGGTTGAATGATGCAACAAGGAAGGACAACTTTTGTAAAACCCCGAAAAATTTCGAAGTACTTAAGTGGTAAGCCTAGGCTTACGTGTTTGAGGATTGTAGAAATTCTTCGCGGTGACCATGCTCGTCGCGGCTTGGACCTTTTGGGTTGAACAATGCACCAGAAAGTAAAGAAAAATATTTGGCGGAAAAGTACATTTTTGCGGTCCATTATGCGACCGCAGAATCACTCTGCGGACTGCTTAATGGCCACAGAGTGAGGCAATAAATTGAACCAATTAGAAATGCGACCGCATAATGGTTATGCGGACCGCATACACAGGCAGTTCTTTTGGCTCTTTTGTAACCAACTATGTGGTCCGCATATCGGTTATGCGATCGCATACCTTGTTCCGGAGCTCCAATTTTGGGTTTTTAAAACCCGACCCTATTTCGTTAAATACACTCTTTGGGTTATTTTTGAACTATTATCTGACATTTTAGAGTGAGAGAGGGTGCTCTAGAGTGATAAGGTGATTCTTCAATAATTGTTCTTCAATTCTTGCTCTGGATTTGGAAGATTAAGAAGGGAAACTCACTAGATCTTCATCCTAGAGGTAAGATTCTACACCCTAACCCTTAATTTCAAATTTTGTGTGGAAATGGATAATAAGCAAGATAATTTCTGGGCAAGAGGGTTGGTTATTTTACATGCATGTGTTATCAAAGGGTGTAGAAAGATTGTTGAGCTAAAAATGGTAAAGGTTGGGTTGTGGGATGATGGAATGCTCCATAAAAAGGACCTTGAACCTTAATGCACACCTAGTGTTTGATAAAATGCTCAAATGAGCTAGAACCATAATCATCTTCCTAATTGTGGTTCAATTTGTTATATTTCTAAAATAGATTGAAGTTGCTAAGAATTCCGGAACGTTTTAGAGTTTAAGGAAGCTCAATTGAGGTATGTTGGCTAAACCCTTATTTAAGAATTGGAATTCTCATTATCCTTGTAAGTTCCGAGATGTTGATTATAAATCGAGTATTCCGATAAGTTTTGTGATGAAGATATATGTTCAATTCGTATTTCAAATGATCTTATCATATTGCATTATAAATTGAGGATGTTTCCCAAACTATGGATTACGTATCCACATGTTATAATTTCTAGTCGTGATTTATGTGAAAGTTATTATGCCAGTTGTATAGAGATTGTAATTGTGATACACCTCCACCCGCATACATTGGGGTGAGGCGGCATGACCGCTTTGTGTGGGGATTATGGTATAGAGATTATGATGGTGATACACCCCCACCCACATATATGTATTAGGGTGAGGCGGCATGACCGCTTTGTGTGGGGATTATGGTATAGAGATTATGATGGTGATACACCCCCACCCACATATATGTATTAGGGTGAGGCGGCATGACCGCTTTGTGTAGGGATTATGATATTGTGGCACTGCACCTCCACCCACTTACATTGGGGTGAGACGGTATGACTGCTTTGTGTATGGTTTTGGTATTGTTGTAGTACCACCACCATCATACATTGGGGTGAGGCGGCATAGCCGCTTTGTGTGGGTATTGGTATCGTTGATGGATTTCCACCCGCATACATTGGAGTGAGGTGGTATAGCCGCATTGTGTAGGTTCATGGTACTGTGGTTATACATCCACCCACATACATTGAGGTGAGGCGGCAGGGCCTCTTGATTTGAGTTGTGGTATTGTACGTACACCTCCACCTGCATACATCGGGTGAGGCGACGAGGCTGCTTTGTGTGATGATGGTTATAGAGGATCTCATCTTAAATCCTATAAATTTTGTTGATAGCTTTTAATAAGCTTTCTATGGTTGAGACGGTTATCTATATTATTATATTGCCGCCCTGGTTCATCATAATTATCTTGTATTTCTAAATTCTTAAATTGGTGTTTAAGTTTCATACTAGTACTATTCGACGATACTGACGTCCATTTTGCCGGGGGTGCTGCATCTTTAAATGGATGCAGGTGGTTCCACAGCAGGTGACATTGATCAGTGATAGCAGTACATCTTCTTCTCAGCTGACTTGGTGAGCCCCACTTCATCCCGGGGTCATGTATCTTTTGTTCTTTATGTATTATGGTTGAGGTATAGCCGGGGCCTTATTGCCGGCATTTCCATATTACTCTTTAATTGTACTTAGAGGCTCCGTAGACAGGTTGTGGGTAGTATTTGATGTTGGGAATTGGATTAGAACTGTTGGTATTTGGCAACATGTTTTTCATTAAATCTATAAACTCGTACTATTTTGGAAATATTGAATGATGTTGTTAATGGGAATGAAATGGAAGGGGTTAATAAAATCTCCCTAATATTTGATTAACAGAGTACATCTCCTCTTTATTCACGAGTGAATTTGGGTAGAATAAAATCTAACAGGCTTGCTCGGTCGAGTTCACTCGGTTGAGTGCCAGTCGCGCTCCTCGATTTTGGGGCATGACAAACTTTGTCTCAGAGCCTAAGATTTTAAAGTGTCCTAGGATGTCTCGGAGACATGTCTAGTAGAGTACTTATTATCGGTGTGTTGTCGACCACATCTATAATTAGGATGCTACATGGGCATTTAAAAATAATACCCTTCTTTCATGATTCTTGATTGTGCGATAAATCTGGTTGTAAGATTGTTCTTCCTTTAACTCAGGCGTTGCTCTAATATTCAGTACATGGCATCTAAGAAGAAGGCAAAAACTGGCCAAAGAGCCAAAGTCACCCCGGGAGTGACAGTTGACCCTATAATTGATGATGCGGGTGAGCACCCGGGGAGTGAGAATATTCCTCCAGTTACTACACTGTCTGACTCTACTACAACTGATCAGACCGCACATGTCCCTACACCTACAGAAGGTGCAACAGTTCTTCCAACTGATATTCCAGTTCCACCTCCAGCTCCAGCTTTCGATTCTGGTGTGTCTGATATTTATATTAGTGGAGCCATACAAATGTTGACACATATAGTGGCTTCTCAGGCCCAAAGATCGAGTGTTGGGCCTACTCCTTCCAGTCATCCAAGAGAATCCGCTAGTTCTAGGGTGAACAAGTTTCTTCAGTTAGATCCTCCAGTGTTTATAGGTACTGATCCCGAGGAGGACCCCCAGGACTTCATTGATGAGATGCACAAAACTTTCCAGGTTATGCATGCTATAGAGATGGATGGAGTAAAGTTGACCTCTTACTGCCTGAAAGGGGTGGCCTATTCTTGGATTGAGTTGTGGGAGGAATCCCATGAGGAGGGAAGCCCTCCGGCAAGGTGGGGGTGAGTTCACATATGCCTTTATGGATCATTTCTTACCTGCCAAAACTAAGGTAGCTCGTGCCGCTGAGTTTGAAAGCCTGAAGCAGGGTAGTATGATTGTGTGGGAGTACCATATGGAGTTTGTGCGCCTGTCCAAGTATGCTATTCACATGTTGCCTACTATGGAGGTTAGAGTGTGCCTGTTTGTACAGGGCCTTAGCCCTTTAGCTATAAATGAGGCCTCTACAGCTGCCTTGAATTCCAATATGAACTATGGTAAGATAGTGGCATTTGTTCAAGCCACAGAGACCCGTAAATTGAAGAACAAAATAGAGCGTCAGACTAGCAGCAAGGCCCGGTCCGCGGGCAACTTTGGTGGTTCTTCCGGTGGTGGTGGTGGTAGGTCGGTCCATCCCAATCATTCTCCCAATCTTCGATGGGTGCACCATCATCTGGACCCACTCAAGGCAACAGTGGACCCCACCAATAGTGTCGGCCCGACAGAAGGTTTTAGCAGCGGAGGCTTCCATGCCCTAAGTGTGGGAGGATGCACTTTGGGTCATGTTTCATGGACTTACCAGTATGCTATGGGTGTGGTTTGCGGGGTCACATTCAGAGAGATTGCCGCTCGTCCCCCCGAAATATGGGAAGAGGCACGACACAACTAGCTAATGCTGCACCTACTACATCCACAGCACCTCCATCTCGAGGCACCCCAGCACCCGCAGGGCGTGGTGAAGCTAGAGGTGGTGCACAAAATTCGGGAGGATCCAACAGATTTTATGTTATGCAGAGACGTCGGGAATCAGAGGCTTCTCCAGATGTTGTCACATGTATATTGACTGTCCAATCTCATGATGTATATGCTCTTATTCATCCCGGTTCCACTTTGTCAAATGTCACTCTTTATGTTGCTATGGAATTTGGGATAGAACCAGAACAACTTTATGAGCAGTTCTCTGTATCTACTCCATTTGGTGAGTCTATTTTGGCATCGCGGGTTTACAAGGATTGTGTTATCACATTGCGTGGTCAAGACACTGTGGCCGATCTTATTGAATTTGAGAATGGTCGATTTTGACGTGATAAGGAGGATGGATTGGCTTTGTTCTTGTTTTGCCAAGCTTGATTGCCGAACCAGGACTGTTAGGTTCGAATTTCCAAATGAGCCAGTTATTGAGTGGAAGGGTGATGATTTAGTGCCAAAGGGTAGGTTTATTTCCTACCTTAAGGCTACAAAGATGATAAACAAGGGATGTATTTACTATTTGGTCCGGGTTACGGACACCGATGCTAAGGCACCTACACTTGAGTCTGTGCTT